AAAAGATCATCTAGAAATACTTCATTGGTAAGTACATGGTCACAATACACTAATATAAATATACCACTTAGAGTCATATTTGCCCCAAGTCTACTTAAAATCACAAATCTAACCAGGAGGGATGGCTCAAGCCTGTCATCTCAAAGAAGGCTGAGACTCAGGGTTCAAGGCCAGTCAGAGCAAAAACATTTGCAAGACCCCAATTAACCCAATAAAAATAATGCATGGTGGTATGAAGTTACCATTCTATCTTCAAATGGGAAGATAGCATAAATGCAAGGATCAGGAAAAAAAAAAAGAAAGAAAACAAAAGAAGCTGAACCTCTGGTTCAAGTGGTAGAGTGACTGCCTTGTAAGCACAAGGCTCTATACTTAAATACTTGTGCCATAAATAAAATAACAAAATTTAAACTTAAAAATATAATTGTTCATGTGACATTATCCTATTCAGAAAAAAAGATTCTTAACCTTGTCTGGCTGTATCTTTTACCTTTTTTCTATAGAACACTGAAGGACACACCGTAGACATTCTATGAATAATTATGGAACTTACAAATTTAAGACTAGTGTTCGAACTGTCCAATTGATAACATAAAATTCAACAATTTAAAATTTGAAGCCATATTTTATGCCAATATTTAAACCTGTTAGATTATATCATGTAATACTGTTCCAGTGACCACAAAAGAATAACAATGAAGTGATTCATAAAAACGACATTTCTAATAGAAGAATTATAATAAATATGACATTAAGATTACAAACCAAGCCAAGCTCCGGTGGCTCCCACCTGTAATCTTAGCTACTCAGGAGGCTGAGATCTGAAGTCACAGTTTGAAGCTAGCCTGGCTAGGAAAGTCCTCATGAGATTCTTATCTCCAATTAGCCTCTCAAAAACCAAAGTAGCACTGTGGCTCAAGTGGTAGAGCATTAGCCTTGAGCATGAAGAGCGTAGGACAGTGCCCAGATCCTGAGTTCAAGCCCCTAAACCAACAACAACCAATAGGAGATTTGATATGAAAAAATTTAAAATGTGAATTCTTGGGTACCACTTGAACAGATACCAATTATAATACATGATTGGAATTACTTAGTAGCTTTTTTTTTGGGGGGGGGTCTGTCATGGGGCCTAAACTCTGGGCCTGGTCACTGTCCCTCAGCTCTTCAGCTCAAGGCTAGTGCTGCTCTACCACTTGAGCCACAGCACCACTTCCAGCTCTTTCTGCTTACATGGGGCTAAGGAATCAAATTCAAGACCTCATGTATGCAAGGCAAGCACTCTACCACTGAGCCACCTTCCCAGCCCCTTAAATAGCACTTTTAACAAGCAGCTATTCTAACAATTATACTAGAGAAATTCTCCCATGGAATAACAGAAAGGGGAAATGAAACTAAACCTGTTTCCATACTTGAACTTTGATTTTTAGCTCTTGCTGTCTTGCAGACAAGACGAAAAGGAATTAAAGAGGAAACAGACACTGACTGACACCAGGAAGCCTGGCATTTTGTCAGGGAAGGCCAGTAAGTTGCTTCAAATCCTTTTGTAAATAATCACAGTATGCACGTGGAGAGAAAAAAATTCCCCAGCACTAACACCAACAAAAGCCTACCAGATGGCACTTCATGTAAAGGACATTAAATAATCAGAGTGAAAATGTTCTTATGAGCAAGCAGGGAATATATAGAAATAGCATCAAATGGGTATTTCTTATTCTAATTTAATTTGAAGCATGAGGACAAATGTTACACACTACTGATTCTAAACTTGGATAGCCTCTTTGGAGAATATGGAAGATGTATGTGCTTTATAAGCCAGCAATTCCAATCCTTGATTTAGCCTAAGATTTTGAAAAACTCCCTGTATACACTAGGAGACATATATGAAGCAAATGCCAATGTTGCTTGCATTATGACACGTTGCACATTTACCTGCTACTTCACCCTGGTTTCTCTCCCATTTCTCTAGCTCCTTTGTTGGTTTCATTACTCAGCTATTAAACACCAGTAGCTTAAAGGCTCAGTCTTAAACATTACTCTTCATGTTCTATCAAGATGATCTCATCTACATTAGAACTTCCATTATCACTCTGCGCAGGTCTTACAACACATTTCTCCCTTTGCCTTTGATGTTTCCCCCGGAACTCTAAATTTTCTATTCAGCTGCTCACATAACAGTGTACTCTCTTGCTCGCTTGCTCTCACTCTCTCTCTCTCTCTCTCTCTCTGAATGTCTCTAAGTAATTCTCCTTCTGATGAACAGAAATCAAGTCAGAATGTATGAAAAAAATCACCCCTAATATTTGAATATGTCCTCCACAGTTAATATGTTGGAATCCTTCAGCCTCAAATTCACATTGATGGCATTTGGAGGTGAAGTCTTCAGGAGATTAAGGTTTGATGAGGTCATGAAGGCAAAGTCCCATGATAGGATCTTAGCTAATGGAAAATTCTCTTGGCCTGTGCCACTTTATGATACAATATAAATTCAAAACATGGCCCAGCTCTGGGTAACCTGTCCCAATCTTGCTCTCTGTGGGGCCACCCTTCAGAGCCTGGTCTCACTATGCTTTTCCTTATGCTGAAGACATTTACATGTGCTGTTCTCTCTGTCTGAAACCCTTCCTTCCTTCTTTGATTAGTTAATTCATCCTTCAGATGAACCCTCAGAAGTCATTTGCTCAGGGAAGCCTCTTCCTGACTCCCTGACTATATTCCTGATCATTGTCACATTTCCCTGTAGACTGCCACAGCTGTGTACATGTCACTACAGGACTGAACGGCTGTTCTCCTCGTCCTTGAGATTACATTTCATAAGAATGGAAGCTGTGGTTGCTTATATTCCTAGCTTTATCAGATGTTCATGTACATGCTAGGTAAATGAATAAACTACAAAAAACACTCACATTTTTTGGAAATTAATATTGTTTCTCCTTTTCAGAAGGCTTATACTTTATTTAAAGCACTCTATTAAATGGCACAAAATGGTGCCTCCATATTAATAAGAAATGTTACCATTTTAAATACATTGCTATCATTGAGATGACAAGCTGTTATTATTATTCATGTTGAATTCATTCTCTGTGGTAGATGTTACTTTCTGGTTACTCTGAATCCATTCCCAAATACTTTGTCACTTGTTAACTCCATTAAAAAGCTGAAGATTATGGGATGGGATGTAGCTCAGTGGCAAAGCGCTTGCCTAGCAAGTGCAACGTCCTGGGTTCGATCCCCAGTACCAAAAAAGAAAAGACAAAAAAAATACAGTTTAAGAAAAAAAAAGCTGAAGATTAAAATAAATAAACTATCAACATCTGAGAGGTATGGCAATCTCTGCATACAGTAGGCAGAAACAGGAAGTCTGTAACTATCAGGCCATGCTGTATGAAGAGTCCATCTTGGTGACAGAACAAAATATATAAATATAAATTATTAAACACAAATAATGCAATACAAATTAAACCATGATATTAACAATAAAAATAAAGCAAGAACAGAAAACAAAGGATGAAACATATCAAAAAAATTGAGTATTAAGCAAATAAATGACAGAAGGCAAGTATAAAAGCAAACAACAAAATAAAGTTATATCAAAATTTTATATAAGTATTTAAGTTAATCTATCCAAGGTTGGTCTTTATTCTGCCTGAGCATGGTGGTAAAATAAATAAGTAAAAATAAAAGCTGGAAAGACATAATTCTTATTTTGTTTTTTTTGCAACTAAGGCCATAAGACCCTAATTCATAAAATTTAAGTAGAAGTTTTCTAGGAGGCTTCTGAAAGGTATTGCTGTGCTGCTATAAATAAGTTGTGGCAGTTTTCTCTTTTGCTTCATGCAACTATAACTGTGATGTCTGGAGTTGCAGCAATGATATTACATCTTTGAGGAAAAGCCAGTGAGACCTCAGAGCGCTGCAATATCACAGGCAAACTGCCTACTTTACTGTACCTACTTACTTTGCTTTCCTGTTTTGTTAGGAAAACCAATCTTTATATTCCATTTTATATTCCATTACTTGTATCTGAGAACACTACTTGATACTCTGCCCAATACCAAAATTCTCAACCAGACAACCTAATGCTGACCAAGATGAGTTTACTCTTTTTTTCTTTTTCATAAAATTTCTCTGCTATTCTCTATTACTATATTCAAAATTAAATGTCAAGTATATTTTTCTTTATGAAATAGAAAATCAATTGTAATTTTAACAATAAAGGAAAGATTCTTTACATTTCTTGTTTTGAGGTCACTTAAAATCTATGGAGAACAGAATAACATTCATGGGGTAAAAACATTACACTGCACTGCTCTCGAAGATGGAAAGCCAGGCTTTAAGGTATGTCAATATCTATTCAACGTCATCTTATTAGCATGCAACACATTCTAACAAATATGTAGCTGGATAATAACTCAGAAATTTTAACTAGTTTTATTACATACATTTAGACTCTACTTTTTAAAAAATTTGCAATACAAGAAAGGTTACTTTAAGAAGTGATAAATCACATGGTATGAGATAGAAGACTATATATTCTTTGTAGTGAAACCAGGGTATTTGGACCATATTCCTAAGATGTATGAAATTAAAGTTTATGTTGAGGTTAGGAAACCCAATTCCGTTACATGCAACATTGGAAGGGTGGAAAGGAATCTGAATTAAATGGTCTTGGCCGGGGTCCATTCAGTTTCTTCCAAAGGCTCCATCTAGATCATGAGGACCAGTTTTCACACTGTGCTGTAACACAGCCTACCATCAGGCCTCCAAGCCTTCCACCCAGGGAAGCTGATTTTTCTCCACAAGAACTTGTTTCACTCATTGAAGATATGAAAATTACTAGGAAAAATAATCTCCTAGGTTTTTTCTAGTATTGACTGATGTGCATGATAAGATCATGTAAGCTTCTAAACTTTTTAGGAGTAAATCTATTCATCAAAATTCATGTAGTAATGTGGGCCAGACTTATTTTCAGAGCTATACTCAAACAGAATGAATGTTTTTACCTTGTGAAAATGCCATCCACAATCCCAATTGTTGCTTCCTCTGCAGGAACATAGGAACCAATCTGAGCCATGATGGTAATCAGTGCAACTTGTTTAATGTAGGAGCTCTTTCCACCCATGTTTGGTCCAGTAATTATCATTACTCTCTCTGAGTCCTCCTAGAAATCATAAAAAAATTTCACTTGCTGTACCAACAGAGTTTTAATGCAACCTCTGTAATTTATTCTTTTTTTGTGTTGGTTGTGGGACTTGAACTCAGGGCCTGGGCTCTTTTCTGTACAGGCTGGCTTCAACATGCAATCCTCAGATCTCAGCCTCCTGAGTAGCTAGGTATAATTTATTCTTATAGCGAGGAATTCAATAGGCACAATACTGCTTTGTGGTTTATTGCTTCATTAATTCATTTACCAGTGAGATTATAAAATAAATAAGGCTAGGTAAATTTTGTACAGAAAGATTGTCACTTAGTTCATAGTTCTGAAGGTTCAAGAGCATGAGCATGGTGCTGGCTTCTGCCCAGCTAGGGTGGATACTTCTTGGTGGATAGCACCACAATGAGGGGAACACATGTGGGAGGAATTCAAATGGCAAGACAGGAAGCCAGAAACTGGGGAGGGGCCAAGCTCACTCTTATTGTAACAAACCAGATTTAACCCCATGTGAGAGCAGGGCTCCTAATGACTGAATTACTTTCCAATTGGTGCCATCTCTCTTCTTTTGGTGCTGGGGGTTGAACCTAGAACCCGTTCTTGCTAAGCATTTGATCTACCATGGAGCCATACCACCAGCTTAGTCCATCATCTCTCACATCACAACACTGAACACCCTGTTTCCAACACATCAACCCTTGGGACAAACTACATCCCACTGAAGTAGTCAACAATATGAATCACAAAGAGAAAGAGAACCTCTTTACTGTCAGCGTAAACTATGATATTGCAGAAAAATAAATTCTGAGCAATCAGTCATAGCTACTTCTAGGAAATAGAAAGTAACCCAAACTGCATAATCTCTATGGCTTTCTTCCTAAGCATTCTCTAATCTTTCTATATGAGTGTTTTTTATACTGCTTATATGTTAAAATCTTGTTGATCCATTTGTCCATCTTAAAACTCTAAGTATTAAATTTCTCATTGCCCAGGGCTCTAATTTGGTTGGCAGCATATGAATTTTACAGTCATAGGCAAATGACTATTAAAAGAAGTTTACAACACCAAATTCTAGAAACAATCTCACCAGAATTGAATTATTCATTGGCATTTTAAAAACTGGTGAAAGAGGAAGAAGAGCTGTAACTCTTAGTATGACTGACGTCGCTAGAATGCCCTTGTATTAACCAATTATAGTACTTGCCATGTACAGACTGCTAAGAGAACTTGTCTGACCACTGTGCTCAGCAGAGGAATCAGTGTGGGACACCCATGGTCTGTGCCATGTGCACCCACCACCTCAGCAATGGCTGACAAGAGGAATCAATCTGGAACTGGTCAGAGGGCCTACCATGGAAGTTCTCAAATAAGGCCAATCTATAATCACCTGAAAACCAGGGACAGGCTCACTCAGAGGGAACTAGTGAGGAATTAAAGATTTACAGAAAAAGGCCATAAGGCACTAAGAGACAAGTTACAAGGCAGCAAAAGGAGTTGAAAAACTTCATGCAAATAATGAGGGTTCAAAATGAACCATTATGAAAGCTTATGTTTGAAAGAAAAAAATTAAAAATGTGTTCTATCCCTAAAACTGCCTCATAACCTAATGCTGTTCTTCCTAGTGTTCCTTCTCTGATGGTTCCATGTAGGTTTATACAAAGCACAGAATCTTCACTACGAAAAAGAACTGGAGTGAATCCGTAGTTTTTTAAACAAAAAAAATCACATCATAGTAGGAACAGAGAAAGAAGTGAGCATAAAGACTAATGAAAAAATAAATGTTAGCGAAATTACAAAATAATAAGCTTATTAATAGACAAATATTTAGCATAACAAAATATTTGAATACTTTTAATTAAATGAACAAGTTTTTAATGGCAAAGTGACACAAGAAATGGAAGCACTAATAACCCTATACCTATTAATATGAAAATGAATCTGTAATTAAAATACCTCCCACAGGAAAAAAACAACACAGTTAATATCCCCACTACATTCTTAAAAAACATTTAAGAAATAGCCCCAATATTATAAAAATGCTTCCAGAAAACAGAAGGAACTTTTCCAAATCATTTGAAAAGGTCAACACAATATTGATGCCAACACAAGAGCAATAGAAGAAAGAGAAATTATGGACCAATACATCTATAAGCAAAACTGCTGAATAAAATCATAAGCCAAGGCAGGAGGTATCACTCAATATTATAATGGTACAATAATTAAGGTAGGGTAATTTGGTACAAAGACATACAATTATACCAGACAAATACAACAGAACCCAGAAACCGATTGACAGGAATACATTTTTGACAAAAGTAATGACACAGCAGCTGCAGCAAAGAATGGTGTTCTCAAGAACATCAATACTGAGTCAAAAGAGTGTCCATAAATAATGAAATATGTGACCCCCCAACTAAGACTATAAATAATACCCAAATTTAGGTAAATTTCATGTTTGAAAGATGGAAAAACAATAGCATTAAAGATAACTTATGATTTGGGGGGAGGCACAGATTTCCTTTTTAAGGGAGGAGAGAGTATTGAGGTTTGAAATCAGGACCTCTTGTTTGTTAGGCTGGTGCTCTATCATTTGAGACATTCCCATTTTTGTATTGGCAATTTGACACAAAGATCTGAGAACTGAAATTCTTATTCTACTGTAAGGAAGTAAACTGTAAAACATTTCAGAAAACTCCAGCAGTATCTACTGAGGCTGAAAATAGACACAGCCAAACAATTCTGCTCCCACAGACATGCCAAGCAGAAATGTGTATGATACATAACAAAAGATAAATGAAAGACTGTTTGCAGCAGTGCTTTTTATAATGGCCTTAAATTGGAAGTAATTCAAGAGTTTGCCAATACTGGGACAGATAAATTGTGATATATTCATAAGAGAATTTGATATGATTACAGAAATAAACTACAATTGTAGGTGAATCTCATAAAACTAATGTAGAACCAAAGAAGCCAGACAGAGGTATGCTGCAATTCAGATAAAGTTCAAAGTCAGACAAAACCACTATGAAAGAAATTAGGACAGAGATTATTGAGGAAGGTGGGACAAACAGCTGTTGGGAAGAGCTCCTCTACTTTAGAAGAGGCCTTCTAGAATGTGTTCTAGTTCTATTCTACTGACCTATTTCTGACTCTGGGTGCTGGATACTTTAGTATATGCATTTTGAAGTATTTCCTTAAGCTGTATTCTACGACTTCTGTCTATTTTTTTCAGTATGTTATTTGTTAATAGAAATTGTTTCTTAAAAAAAGAAATTAATCCATTCTCACAAATTAATAAGCAAGCAACATGATTAGCAGAAGCTAATATGAAATTTACTGGATGCAGCAAAATCCCAAGCAAAGTCCATATACTTTAGTGAAGCACACCCAGGAGGGATGTTATTATAATACAGTAATATGATGCAACTTCAGAAAGAAGCAAACAGAAAAGTAGCAAGAGGATTACAAACAAACAAAAAAGCAATATTCATTAAATGAGTGTGGCAAAACTGGATGTCCATATGAAAAGTGGCCAGAATCTCATACAACCCTCCTACACTAAATCTACGTGGATGGAAGAATTCAATATGAAAAGCCATCATGGGGTTAAGCTGGGCGCCAGTGGCTCACGCCTGTAATCCTAGCTACTCAGGAGGCTAAGATCTGAAGATCGAGGTTCAAAGCCAGTCCAGACAGGAAAGTTCGTGAGACTCTTATCTCCAATAAACCGCTAGAAAACCGGAAGTGGTGCTGTGGCTCAAGCGG